TCTCATTGTGGGTTTGATTTTAATTTCCCTGATGATTCATAATGTTGAGCACTTTATCGGGTGCCTGTTGGCCATCTGTGTGTCTCCTTTGGAAAATGTCTATTCAGTTCCTCTGCCAATGTTTTATGTGGTCTATTGTTGTTTTTGCTATTGAGTTGTATAAGTTCGATATATATTTGGTGTATTCATTATCAGATAAATAATTTGCAAATATTTTTTCCCATTGGGTAGGTTGCCTTTTCATTTGTTAACGGTGTCCTTTGCTGTGCAAAAGATTTTTAGTTTGATATTGTCCCACTTGTTTATTTTTGCTTTTGTTGCCTTTGCTTTTGGTGTCAAATTCAAAAAAAGTCATTGCTAAGACCAGTGTCAAGGATCTTACCCCCTGTGTATTCTTTTAGAAGTTTCATGTTTTTAAGTGTTACATTCAATTCTTTAATTCATTTTTAAAAACTATATGGCTTTATTTTTTCAGCTTATTAATTTATTTGTGAGAGAGAGAGAGAAAGAGAGAGTGAGTGTGTGTATGTGAGAGAATGAGTGGGGGAGGGGCAGAGAGAGAGGAGAAAGAGTATCCCAAGCAGGGTCTGCACCACCAGCATGGAGCCTGACATGGGCTTGAATCCACAGACCGTGAGATCGTGACCTAAGTTAAATCAAAAGTCAGACACTTAACCGACTGAGCCACCCAGGCAGCCCTCAATTCTTTAATCAATTTTGAGTTCATTTTTGTGTATGGTGTAAGATCGGGGCCCAGTTTTATGCTTTTGTATGTGGCTGTCCAGTTTTCTAACACCATTAATTGAAGAGACTGTCCTTTCCCCAGTGATTATTCTTGGCTCCTTTGTCATCAACTAGTTGACCATATATGTGTGGGTTTATTTATGTCATTGCCCTTCACTGTGTTTTCTGATGGGTATTGATGTCCATGCCTGGCTTTCTTTTGTAACGCTCCCTCAGTTAATTACTTCAGGAGAAGGAAAGAAAAGTTGCTAAAAATATAACATAATTGATAGTGTAACTCACTAGCCCTCCTCACCAGGAGGGACCCTCCCACTCTGAATGTGGATTGTAGATGAAGGGACAGTCTGTGGTCCCAGCACTTCATCATCTGGTAGGGTCCTTCAGGGTAATTCTGTTCCCCTGGCTTCTGCAACACTTGGCTTCCCTTTCTGGTTTTACCCCATGATGGCGACAGTAGGTTTTAGTCTTCACGGAATACACATTCGGATGTACATTTCCCTTGCTTTGCTCTCTAAACCACAACTTTCTCTCTAGTAAGGCACAGCATATCACTGTGTTCCAAACAGGTTACTGGTATATGATCCTCAGACATCAGTGATGGTCAGGTGGCCTCCTGGCCATCAGAGGTTCAAGTTGGAGCCTCCTGAACCTCTGAACTTGAATGCCTCACCCACAGTCTAATAGAGAGTATAAGAATCATCTCTTTCTCTGTGTGCCATGACATGAAAAGGGTGGGGAGCACCACTCTTGACCAAGGTTCGTTGTGGCCTTGGGAACCTTGATGGGTCCCTTAGTGCCTTTATCCTTAGGCACGTTTGCCTGACTCTCTAGTACCTGGAGACCAGTCCTGAGAACAGCTGGCCCATCTTTTAGACTTGAGACTGGCCAGACATGCTTTATTCTCATGGCAGTGACTGACTAGCTCACTCCCCCCCTTGGGCTCAGACACGAACCACATTTCTCAGGCCCCTTTCACCTGGGTGGGCATGTTAAGACTAGCTGTTGTTGATGGAATGTCAGTGGAAGTGGAGCGTCACTTCTGGGTCAAGACCACTAAGAGCCGTGTGCCTTTTTCACACTTTGCTCCTACCGTCTCTCCCCACAGTGTCCTCGGACATGGCATGTGTTGAAGATGGCAGCTAGGTCCCTAAATGACTGCCTTTTGTCCACTCATCCCACAGCCTCTGACATGAACTCTGATGTGAGCAATAAATGTTTTGTGTTAAACCTTAAGACTTGAGATTTATCTATTATAATAACTAGCATTATTTCCAGTAATCAGTACACTTTCTTTGTCATAGACATGCATGGTCTTATGAGCTGAATTGTGTCCCCCCCCCCGCCCCCAACCCCACCAAATTTATGTGTTGAAACCGCAACCCTTACTACCTCAGACTGTGATCGTGTTTGGAGGTCAGGTGTTTAAGGAGGTGACTCGTGAGGTTACAGTGACGCTGTGAGGGTAGGCCCAAGTCTAACATGACTTGTGTCTTTATAAGGGGAGAAATACACGCGGGGGCCAGTGCACAAAGGGACGACCGTGTAGCGATGCCACAGGGTGGTCCTCTGCCAGCCAAGGCAAGAGGTCTCCGAGGAAACCAACCCTGCCAACATCTTGATCTTGACTTGCAGCCTCCAAGACCATGAGACAATAACTTTCTGTTTCTTAAAGCACCCAGTTTGTGGTGTTTGATTATGGTAGTCCTAGCAAACCAGCGCACATGGTCAAGTCTTCTCACGTATCGCCCTTGTGTGTCGTCCTGTTTCCTTCTTATTTCCCAAAAGATTTGCTTGCACTTTTAGCCTGTGAGCAACCATGGGTCCTCAAAGATCCCAGTTGCCTCAGCTTTCCTGTCTCTGCCATAGGTATCTTTCATGACCCACTGTCCATTTTGCTAGTTCTCGTGTGAATCCAAATACACCCATATTGCTTGGGCCTGATATTTTCCACCTTTCTTAACTGTCTTGGTCGCAGAGGTTTATTCAGAAGTCTTTACCCAGGGCTGCTCCAGATCTGAATTTAGCCTACCCCTAGACCCCGCAGGAAGCTAGGTGGGTTGGGTGAACACAAGCTCCAAACATTTTTGCAAGATTCTCCTATGAATGCATCACTCCTCCAAGCCTGTCACCAAGACACCCGCTCCATTAAAGGTTTCTCTGACACAGGATCTATCTCTGGAGACTGTGAGCACAACCCTGCCTGGTGTGTGAGTGCAAGGTCAGCAGAATCGTGCGCCTCCCTTACCGCGCTAAAGCCGGGACCTGCCTATGGAGTCTATGAGCCTGTCTAATTGTGGCAACTGTCACGTTGAGCCAAAACCAAGTACTGCAGATGGAAGCAAGAGGCATATTTCTGGGCAGCCCATAAAACCCAAGATACCACCTCGCAAAAGCTTTGCAAAAGCTCTGGCTCAGAGCTTTTGAATAGGCAACCACTCCCCTGATAGATGGGGCTTCCAAAGTACACAAGGAGCCACCTGCTTGGCTGGTTGCAAGCATTTTACTGTTCAGCTTGGGCAATTTGTTTAATGCAGCTCCCTCTACTGGGCTATTAGTCACCCTGAAGCTTTCGTGTCCTAAAACCGTAGGAGAAAAGGACCCGACCCAGTTACCAGTTGAGGAAACAGCTGACAGAATCGACAAGGAACGGCTATTGCCTGATGTGAGAATACTGAGGGCGCCCTTGGAGGTTTTGCCAATCCTTTATGAGTGGTCTGGCACCTTAGATCCCACGTTGCATTTCAGTAACTTGACATCTGAGAAAAAAGAGGCGGGAATTCTGACTGGCCTTCTAAGGGGCAAGGGATAATATAGTTACAGCATTTTCTTCTAGGCACAAGTATGATCTCAAGTTCAGTTCTACAGGAAGTAGACACGCATGAGGGACAACAGGGCAAAGGTGTTCCAGAAAGGCAAGCCAAAACATATTTACAAAAGTGGCCCTTCCAAAACAAAGAGGCCGAAAGGAAAGCAGGCAGCTATCCCGAGAATCTCATCTGGACCTCAGTGGGAGCTCCAGGCTTGGACCGACGACTGTGACCTTTGCAGAACTGCTACATACTCTTACAAAAGGACAATCCAGACTCCATCCTGTATGCTCTCCTTCTCTGGCTGCAGTTCTAGGTCAACAGGAAGTTCTAAAGCAGGGGAGGAGGTTGTGAAAGTCCCTGCGAATGTGTATCCTCTCTCTACACAGCCCGGGGCCATCCTGGTCCGAGTTCAGCACATGGAGTGAAGATTGCTCTCAGGTGAGCCACAGTGGCTCTACCCAGTCGCACACTCTACCCAGTCGCACACTCCTTTATGTCCGCATCTTAAAGTAAGCGTCCGTGTCAGGGGTTGAGGGAATACAATTAATAGCACCTTTCTTCCCCGTCCCAGGAGTCAGGCGAATGGAGATCAAAATGACAGTCGTAATAAAAGCTGAGCTGGAGAATGTGGCTTGAAACATCCAAGCCAAGTAGGCTTTCCAGTCTCTCCTCCTGTGCTGAACGTACTCACCCAGCCGCAAGCAGCAACTTCCCGGCAAAGCCCTGCCTCTGTACAGTTCATGGCACAGAGGAGCAGAACGGAAGGGTCCCCACCAGGAAATGACTGAGTCACACTGTCACGATTCCTGAACTCAGTGATCGGATCAGTCATCCCTCCTCCCCTGGGGAGATGAATAAAGGGCTGGCAAGAGCCCAGGAGTGATACTCCAGTGAAGGAACCATCAAGAGAAAGAAAGTGTCCACCAACCATCTCCTCTGGAAGCCTCTGTGTATCCTCACCCTCTTTCCCTCTGTGCATGCACCACGGTCACACGTGGGCACACTCACACACATTGCCAGGACCTCGCACAAAGACGGAGTCAGGAGCTCCACCCTGGGCTTTCGAAGCTTGCGGTTACGTCTATGACTTCCCTTATCATTCTGCACCATAATTATTTTTTTTCGCCTCCTGCATGAGAGCCTGAACTCCCGGAAGGCAAGACGATACTGCATTACTTTCTGATGCATCTCAAGATCCCTAGTGCCTAGTACATAGTAGGTGTTCAAGAAATGTTTCTGGGATGCATGGACAAAACACATGAATAAAGAATAAAACAGTGGGAACCCAGAGACGTAGGGCTTTTTTTTTTCCAGAAATAAATGAAGGCTTTGGCTTGGTCTACAGGCAAAGCTGCCTCAGGCCTGGCAGTTATCTTAGTAAAGCCCCCAGAACCGAGCAGCCCCACCGGAGCGAACCAAATTCCTCAGAATGCCGGTGTTTTGCAGGTTTCATCAGCATCCCCACTGGATCTCCACAGCCTGGCCCGGGCCCCTCAGCCTGAGTGCAGACATCTCCTGTGGGTCCTGTGAGGTCGCTGTCAGCTCTCCACCCACTCCCGCCGCTTCCCACCCTCCCTCCTCTAGGCTGCGGACCTTCTAGGTTCTGGCTGGAGACCCGGTTTGAGGATCTCCAACTTGGAGGAGTATGTAAGGCACTCTCATGACTAAAGCACAGCTGTTAATAAAGTAAGAGCTAAATATTCACCTATTACACATCATACTGTTGTGTTTTGGTTTTTGGTTTTGGTTTTGGTTTTTGGCCTTGTATAGACTTGAGTAGCCTCTTGTCCAGAAAGTGTACTCAGAAATACTGGTGGGATAATTACTTGTTCAAAAGCACACGTCCAATTACGTCAATAACAGGTATAGTCGCTTAGACGTTGAAAGAAGGAAGACTATGGAAAGGAGGTTCTGCAAGACCGACTGACTTTTTTTTCAGGGACTTGGGACACAGAGGTTAAGACATGAAAAGCAGCCCAACAGACTGGCATCCGTGTTCCACCTCTGCCAGATCTCTGACAGGTCCTATAACTACTCTAAACTGTGGTTTACTTTTCCGTAATCCGGAGAGACGAATTGTATCTCGCTCATAGGACTCTTCAACGGGAATTAGATAAAATAAAACATTACATGCTTAGCATGCTATCAGGCACATAGTACATGTTTAACATAAATATTTTTTTTCCCCCAAACTGTAGATGTTGTTTTTGTTATTTTTATGAGTTAAGATTCTGGGGGCAGTGCAGGCGGCCAGCGGGGGAAAGATTATAATAGGTTTTCCGGGGCCTGTGTGGAAGGGGTAAAGCCCAGGCAGGGTGACCCCACGCTGTGCCCCAGATCTGTGAATCTCCAGATGTTCACAAATGGAATGGTTTTCTGCAAAATGAAGATGAGGTATGAATGGGGTCAAGGAAACTTATAGGACCTCACAAGGAGAGTTAGGGGCCGGGTGTTTAATCACCAAATCCAGCTCAAAAAGAAACCCTGACAAAGGAGACTTGTGCTCTTTCCTGGAAAGTTTGCTCTTGGGATCTCACACAAACTCCATCCTGCAAAGAACAGGAGAGAAAGAGACACCCAGCCGGCCCATCTCCTGCCTCCTGCTGGCCGGCCCAGCTGTCCCTCAGAGCCTGCTTCCGGCCTCGCTGGTGACAGGAGACACGTCCTTCGGCCCGGGAGCCATCAAAGGTCTTAGAGGGATGCCTTGTGTCTGACCTGTCCGGGAAAGTAAACACTAGGGGGAATGTTCTGGGGATGCTGCAGGGTGAGGTCCGCAAGTATGGCCGTGGAGGGAAGCAGCTCGTCCACACTGGGGACCTTCCGGGGTTGCAGAGAAGCTGGGGCCCTCGGAATGCCCGTGGGCTATTTTAGGCCAGCCCCAGAACTGGAGTCAATGGAGGTTTTGTTTATGTAACATCTGCAGAAGGCCCTTTGGAGAAAATAACCCTGGGTCTGCAGGCCAGGCTGCAGCGAGCAGGGGTGCGGCTGGGAGCTTCCTGTTGTTCTTGGCCAGGCCGCCCAGCTGTTTGTTTGGCTCTTCTCTTGGAGCCATTAGCTTCCGTGCTGCCTGCTCCTTCCAGTGTCTTCAGCTCCCTTCCTACAGGGCAGCATGGCAGGGTTGTTCCCCGGAGGCGGTGACTCGGGCTCTGTGCCCAGAGCGTTGCCCCTCCCCTGCCCCAGGCTCCCCGGCCACTCTGCAACCTCGGGGTGTCCTTCCTGCACCCTCCCTGAGCTGAGCGGGTTCACTTTCAGATCTAGTGTGGTGAGGGAAAGGCGCGCGGCCTGAGGTCAGCCGGACGTGGGTCTGAATCCAGATCTGCCACTTGATCGCTGCTTAATCTGGAGCAAGTTGCAAAATCCCCAGAGTTGTTTATTACGTGCAAAAATGTATATAAATGCATAAGAGCTGAATAGTATGCGTTCATTCCCCTCACACCAGGCTGGCTCAAAGGCGTTAAGACTATCTCATCTGTTTGAAGCCCAGATTCCCTTGGTGCTGTGGTCTGAATGTTTGTGTCCCTCCAAAGTTCATATGTGGAAATCCTAACCCCCAAAGGTGATGGTACTGGGAGATGGGGCCTTCAGGAGGTGCCCAAGTCAGAGGGTGGAGCCCTACTGAATGGGATTCGTGCCCTTTATACAAGAGGTTCCAGAGAGATCCTGGCCCTTTCCGCCATGTGAAGACACTGCAAGAAGTCTGCAACGCAGAAAAGGGCCCTCACCCCACCCTGCGGGCACCCGTCCGGTCCCCAGAACTGTGAGAATTAGCTTCCTGTTGTTTATGAGCCACCCAGAAGGTGGTAAAATTTGGGGCCCCTGGGTGGCTCAGTCGGTTAAGCGTCCAACTTTGGCTCAGGTCATGATCTCACAGTTTGTGAGTTCAAGCCCCGCGTCAGGCTCTGTGCTGACAGCTCGGAGCCTGGAGCCTGCTTTGGATTCTGTGTTCCCTCTCTCTCTGCCTCTCCCCCACTTGTGCTCTGTCTCTCTCTCTCTCTCTCTCTCAAAAATAAATAAAATGTTTAAAAAAAAGAATAGGTAAAATTTACATACATGAACATGTACCAATCTCAAATGGACAGTTTGATAAATCTGTTTACCTCTGTATCCACCCATGTAAACTACAACTCGGATCAAGATACAGACTATTTCCATCATCCTTGTGTGAAAAGTCCCTATGTGTCCCTTTCTAGTCTGTAATTTGCTTATGCCCAATCTACCTGTCTTTGTCTGCTAAGGCTGCCATTACAAAACACCACCGACCGCGTGGCTTCAACAACAGAAATCAATTCCACACAGTTCTGGAGGCTGGACGCCTGAGACAGGGTGTCAGCATGGTCTGGTTCTGGGGAGAACGCTTTTCCTGACTGCCTTCTCGCTGTGAGTTCACAGACCTCTTTGTGCATGTGGAGGGAGGAAGCTCTCTTGTGTCTCTTCTTCTTTTTTTTTTTTTTTTAAGTTTGTTTGAGAGAGAGAGAGAGAGAGAGAGCACGTGCACCAGTGGGGGAGGGGCAGAGAGAGAGAGAGAGAGAGAGAGGGATTGGGAGAGAGAATCCCAAGCAGGTGCAGAGCCCAATGCGGGGTTCGATCCCACCAACCGTGAGCTCGTGACCTGAGCCTAGATCAGGAGTCGGCCGCTTAACAGACTGAGGCACCCAGGTGCCTCTTTTGTGTCTCTTCTTATGTGAACACTAATCCTATCGGGTCAGAGCCCCATCCTTATGAAGTCATTTAACCTTAATTCTTTCTATAAAGGCTCTATCTCCCAGTACAGCCATGCTGGAGGTTAGTGCTTTAACGCGTGAATTTGGGGGAATCCCATTCTGTCCATGATGCTACCACCATATACCCTGGCTGAGAGTTACTACGTCACTTACAATACAAAATTAGAAGCAAATGCCCATCAGGACAAAACTGGATAAATAAATGTTGCTAATCTCATACAATACTGCAATGAAAAAGAATGGGCTGTTTATTCAAAGGACCCATTCCGAGTATTCCTCCGAGCAAGTTACGAGTGAAACACAACAACAAACGGGGCTTCAAACTTGTAAAGTCTGATCTCTGCCTGGACTTCCCCAAAGGTTGGTTCACTTAGACCAAGTTTAATTATACCCTCGTGTCTGAAAGCAAAATTTCAAGTCTTTCAGGACTTTGCCTAGACACAGGCACTCCTCCCACTTTGGGGTAGTGACAGAGACCCCAGCTCATTGCCTGAGTGGCTTCCAGTAAAGCCTTGTTAATATGAAACATAGCTTTCTTGGGGGACAAATTGACTTTGATTTTAGATTTTCTGTTGTTTGCATTGAAGAACACTAGGCTAGCCGGTTGGCTACGGAAAAAGCAGTTGTTTCAAATTAGCTGTAATTTTGAATTAAGCCAATGTTGGCTTAACAGGTTTTACCCCAAGATGTTTTTCTATACGTAGGGTGTCTTGCAAAGTCACCTAGAAAGATCGTGGTAGACTTCCACATCCATCATTATTTGGCCTTACGCTTTGTAAGATACCAAAATAAATTTACTTTTATTCTTTTTTAAGTTTATTTATTTATTTTTGAGAGAGTGCAAGCAGAGGAGGGGGAGAGAGAGAGAGGAGAGAGAGAATCCCACACAGGCTCCATCCTCTCAGTCCGGAGTCCGACATGAGGCTCAGTCTCACCAACTGTGACATCATGACCTGAGCCGAAATCGGGAGTCAGACACTTAACTGACTGAGCCACCCAGGCTCCCCAAAGTAGGTTTATTTTTAACAGTTGTGCTGCCAGTTTGGGTTAAACTAACAGGCGGAAGTGTTTTTGTAAAAAATCATCTCGTTTTTAGGCAAGGGCTTTTAATTCACTCAAGTAAGAGATTTCAAAGTGAAGGCAGTTAGGACTTGAGATCTGAGGTAACCAAGCCAAATAGCTCACAACTCTGCAAAACGCAGCGTCTCCTAGGCCCTAGACCGGGTTTGCAGCCCCTGGAGGTTTCATCCTGGTCTCTGTGAGTCTGGTTTTCACCCAGGGGTCTTGCTTGCCTGTGGTCCCAATTTGCCTCTGGGTTTTGTACTGGCAGGCTATTAAAATGGACAAAAGCAGAGAAGCCAGTGAAGAGCAAGGGTCTGTTAACATCAGAAAGACCTGGGTTTGAGTTCTATATCCTTCCTGCCCGGCTGTGTGACCTCAGGCAGGTTCCTGAACTTTCTAAGCCTTAGTTTCATCACCTGTAAACTGGGGATGATAATGCCTACCTCTGAGCATTTATAAGAATTTAGAAGCAATGTCTGTGGAGTATCTGGCATATAGCGGTTTACTCATTAAAAAAATATTTTTTTTGCATAAAATATTTCTTGACCGTGTGTCAGATATCACGTGTCCCACTTTAACAGTGGGAACAGAGTGGTAAGTACAATGATCTCTGCCTTCACGGAGCTCAAGGTTATTCCATAAACAGTCACTATTCCAGCTGGTACATGAAAAGACGCTCAACATCACTAATCATTAAGGAAATGCAAATCAAAACCATAATGAGACATCAACTCACACCTGTTAGGGGACTATATATATGTGTGTGTGTGTGTATATATATATATATGACTATATATATATATACACATATGTATTTATATATAACACATAATGGCAAGAATGTAAAGAAATTGGGAGTCCTGCACACCATTGGTGGGAATGTAAAATGGTACACCCACTATGGAAGACAGTATGGTGGTTTCTCAGAAAATTAA